TGAGGGTGAGAAGAGGAGGAGGAAGGGGAGAGACCCCTGGTGGCTTTGATGGGAGAGTTAGTCCAGAGTGATTTATTGAGATGTTTCTACAAGGGGTAAGAGCTCTTGCCTGCAGATGTGGGTACCTAAGGAAGAGAAGATCATGCCTGACAACCTGGCTTTCAAAGGAAGAAAAATGTACCTGCAGTCCCATTTCCCAGGAAAGCTATTGTCAACATTTTGGTGTGAACCCTTTGTAGGCTATAATCTAGTTCCAATACACAATTGTCTTTTAAGAAAAATAGAATTGCTTGAACTGGTGTGGCTCAGGTAGTTGACCATTGTCCTGTACACAAAAGATCTCCAGTTAGTTCCTGATCAGGGCACATGCCTAGGTTTGGTTCCAGGAAATAACTGATCATCATTTCTCTCTCAAATGAATATTTATTTCTCTTTCCCTCTCTTTCCTTCTCCCCCCCCCTCTCAAAACAAACAAAAACAAACACAAACAAAAACAAACAAAAAAACCCATATTAAAAAATTAAATGGCATCATAGCATACATGTATTTTATATAATTTTTATATAAAAGAACCTGTTTTTATTTTAATGTAAATAGCATTTTTTCATGTCATTAATATTATTTCTTAATTAGAGGCCTGGCACATGAAATTTGTGTGCAGGTATGGTCCCTAGGCCTGGCCTGTGATCAGGGCCATCTTCCCTGACTGCCTGCAGCCAGCTCCACCCCCTTGCTGGTACCCCCTCAGTTCCCTGTTTACCATCGGGCAATTGAAGTTTGCTGGCCTGGAAAAGAAACCAAGAGATGGTTAGTATGCTCATATTGACTGGTTGAACAGTCATTCTGGTCATTCCACCATTAGGGGAAATTTGCATATTACCCTTTTATTATATAGGATAGGATAGAGGCCTGGTGCATGAGTGGGGGCTGGCTGGCCTGTCCTGATGGGGGCCCTAGATCAGGGTGGGGGTATCCCTCCTGGGGGTTGGAGCCTGTCGGGTCAAGGGGTCCTGTTCGTTCTGGTCTGTGGTCGCTCTGGTCAGTCTGCTGTTTTGGTTGCTGGGCTTTTATTATATAGGATATTGTTCATATCCATGTAAAGATTTCATTGTTTGAATGCACCCTAGTTTATCTATGAAGTGATTAACAGCATAGACTGAAGTCAGACTTCTGGGGTTCAAATCCCAGGTCTTCCAACCTTTACAAGCTGTGAAAACGTGGGCAAGAGAGTTGACCCTTCTGTGCTTCAGTTTCCTCACCTATAAAATGAGGATAATGGTACTTCCCCTCAGAGGGCTATTATTTGGAACAACTGGAGTAAATAACTTTTTATATGCGAATAATCTATGTTGTTATTTAGCCAACATTTTTGTTGGATATTTAGATTGTTTCCAAGCTTTTCACTCTTACAAGTACACTATAATTAGCAAATTCAATGTTAATTGCTTCCAAAGGAAATATTTGTGGTCACATTAAGGAATCTTTTCTAGAGTGAATCATGTGCTCAACATACATTGAGTGTCCATGTGTACAAAACATGATGCTATGCACAAAGAAAAATGGACACAGTGCTCTTCCTTAAGACATTTAAAATACAGTGGGGGCAGAGAAAGGGCACATTCCTATATAAATATAATATTATGCATAAATATAACAACAGACTGGCACAAGTAAAGAACTATGGGAGAAGAGAGAGGGTACCTTCAGCTGGAGAATCACATCGGGCAATAAAGAAAGAAAGACTTCTTCCTCAGTCCCACCTCTTCCCAAATCCCCAATTCAGAATTCAGAATGGTTTCTGTTTGTCTTGTTGAGAATTTGTTACCTTGAAAGAGAGCACCAGGGGCTGTGTTCCAAAGTTAGATGCCGAGATACGGGCTTACACTGCAAGACCAAATATTTAGGAAATACCTTTTTCTGGAAAGGAAAGAGCACATTTCACAACTGAGAAGAGAAGTGAAAAATGAAACTAAAGAAGCATGAAGGTAATATTTACTTGCTAGATTTATTCAGTGCCTACCTTTAGAAAAAGCCTGGCTATAAATCCAGCATGTGCCCCTCTCCCCCTTCCCTGCCAACACATGCACTCTGTTCTCAGTTATCTAGCTATTTGTGAATTCTCTGAAGCACATTTTACAGTCATTTAACTGCCCCCCAACCCAGCTCACCCTCGGTCATTCCCTCTAAGAGGGGGGATCCTGGAATGAATGGGAGTTTGGAGGCTGACACTCCAGCCTAAGTGTAGTTTCTACAGTTTATCAGCTGGGTTACCCTGGACATGTAACTCAAGTCTCTGACTCTTAGTTTCCCATATGTAAAATGAGATTAATAATAATATTTCCTACCTTATAGGATTGCAATGAGGATTAAATGAGTGATGCTTATAAAGCACCTGTCACAGCAGAGCACTCAATAGTGTTCGTTATTATTATTATTCCTGTTCTACAGTGGATAAAGGTGATGCAAACCGATTGTAATGCTAATTGAAACAATCTAGTATATGGGTCTCTGCAATACAGGCCTATAATGTATTCTAAAGCTAAATGCCAGGGTATTTGGATTTGTGTCATTCTATTTTTTCTATTAGGTTGAAAATTAAGTATGAAGACACCAGAATGGTAAAGAGGCCAGATTTCTCTTCTAACCAACAAGATCTAAACTGCTGTTCACAGTAGAATGAAGATGACTGACAAGCTTAATGCCTCTCACAGGGACATTTATTTGCATTTTAAACTGTGGCCTAAGCCCTTGGCCAAAGGGCATGATGCTGGAGTGGTGAGGTTTCACATATGAAGCAGGGGACATAGGGGAGCATTTTTGATGCAGTGAATTGCAGCACTCCTGAAACCATCTCACTCACTCATTTATTTATTCATTCATTATTCAATACATATTTATTAAGTGCATACTATTTGCCAGACTTTGTTCAATGCACTTGGGACACAATGGTGAACAAAATGGACAAAGATTCCTGACCTCATAGGTTTACATTTTAGTGGGGAATACAATAAAGAATACAATTAATGAATAATTAGATTATATTATATGTTGGATAGGAATTAAATGCCATGTGAAAGATAGAGAAGGGGTGAGATTGGAAGTGCTGGGGGCAGGATGGGATGTTGTAGTACTAAACAGGGTGGTCAGAGTGAGGCCTATGGAGAAAATGAAATTTGAGTAAAGTCTTGAAGAAAGTAAGTGAGTCCACCAGGCGAATATCTGAGGAAAGAGTGTTCTGGGCAATGGGGACAGCTAGAGAAAAGGGCTCAAGACAAGAGAGAGATAGAGAAATAGAGAGAGAGAGAAAGAAACAGAGAGATATTCCTGGAGTCTTTGGGGAACAGCAAGGAGACCAGTGTGGCTGAAACAAGTGGGAGAGCAATAGGAGAGGAAAAGACAATAGGATTGTGCCTGGCTGTTTATGTGGATCCTCGCAGGCTGCTCTAAGGACCTTGGCTTTTCCTAAGAAATGGGGAACCATTGGAGGGCTTTGAGCAGAGGAGTGCTGCGGTGTGACATTTTCGGTTATATTGAGAACAAACCACAGGAGAGGTTAGGATGGGGGTGGGGGAGACCAGGGAGAGCAGCTTCTGCAGAAACCCAAATAAAGGACAATATTGGCTCAGACCTGGGGGCAGCAGGGGAGACACAGAGAAGAGGATTTATCTGGAGGTAGAACCAAGAGGATTTCCTGAAGGATCACGTGTAGGAGGATGAAAGGAGTCAAGAATGAGTCCAAGCTTTTGGCCCCATCACATTCGATGGGGAAGGCTGTGTGAGGTGCAGGTTTTGCAAAGAAAAGGGGATTTGGTGTTTGGATATGCTAGGTCTGAGCTGTGTATTGGACACCCAAGTGGAGACTGAGGTTGGCTGTGCAGCCTGGCATTCAGGAAGAGAGGTCTGGCTGGAGGCACAAACTCAATATAGACATCTGCTTTAATTCATGGAGATGGAGAGGATCATCCAGGGAATGAGAGTGATGGAGGTGGGGAGGTCAGAGGGCAGGGAGATGGCGGTGTTCCCAAGAGGGAGTTGTAGGCTGCCCTGGCTGTGTTTAGGAAACCCTCTCTAGAGGAGCCCGGCCTGCAGGGGGTGCCATGGAACTTGCTGTGGCAGAAATGAAAGGCGGAGAGAATCCTTCGCTTCTTTGGAAGGAGAGGGCTCAGTAGATTCCTGCCAGAGTGACAAAAATAACTAAGAGAAGCAGGTAACGATACCCTAAAACACGTGCTTCATTGCCTCCAAGCAATTAGAGAACCTGGTCCATTAATCTGTTGGCACATCTGGGCACCACTGCCTTGTCTAGGTGGCTCCGCCCTCTCGCCCTTTTTCTCTCTTCCCTTCCCCTCCCCTCATGCATCCTCCTCATTATGTCACTTCTACAACCGCTCTGATTATAATTGATCAGACAGAATCACGGAATCACGGCTCATTTTGCAGTTTTGTTCAGGGGCCCGATAGGCACAGGGACTGGTAGTTGGGCAGATGGTAGTCCCCTCTTGTTGGAATTCCGCTCACAGAGGCCTTCCCGTCGCGGATGGCCGCTCAGGGATGCGCTTGTGCCGCCCGGGATAACTGGGGCGGGTGGCAGGAGGTGGCGGGGCGCACGACGGGTGCCCGCGCGGCGCCCGCGCCCCACGCCCGCCCACGCCCCGCCCCCGGGGGGCGCCGCGCGCAGCCCCCGCCGCCGCCCGCCCCGGGCCCGCACCTCGCCCGCGCCCTTTGACGTCATGCGGGCAGCGGGGCCGGCCGGCGGCGCGGCTGAGGGCCGAGCGTGTGCTCACCGGGGGCTCGGTCCGCGCTGTGCGCCCTGCATCGTGCGCCCGGTCTCCGCGCGCCGCCGCTGCCGCCGCCGCCGCCGCGCCACATCTGGAAGCGTTCAGCGCGTCTGCTCCAGCGCGCCGGGCGGGCGGGCGGGCGGGGAGGCGCGGGCGCGGGCGCGGCGGCGGGCTGGGCTGGAGGCGGTGAGCGCGCCCGTGTCTCCCTCTCGCAGCCTCTGCAGGAACAGCTCCTGCCAGAACGGTGCTCGGCGCGGAGCGGCCCGGAGCGGCGGAGCCTCTTCCTGCCTCCGCGCCTCCGGAGTTGCGGGAGCTTCTGGACGGAGCGGAGCCGAGCCGAGCCGGGGCCTCGAGTCTGGCCTGAGCAGCGAGGCTCTTCTGCACCCACGGGCCCTCCTGGTCTGGGGTCCGTCGCTGCCCTCGCCCCTCCTCTCTGCCTCTCCTCGCGCCGCCTCCCTCGGGTGATTTTTTCAAACGGTGCAGCCGCCAGAGGTGCGGGGCTAAATTCTTGGAAGGGGCCCGGATGTACTGAGGATGCATTGCAATTTCACTCAAGGAGGCAGCAGTGGAAAGGAGCAGTTTTTGGTGTTTGATGCAATAATGGGAATCAGGTAATCGTCAGGAGGGAAGAAGAAACACCGCAGGTCCACAGCTTCCTTGAATTTTGCACGAAAGCCGCCAGCCTCGGAGGAGGGATTCATCCAGACCCGCGGAGGAGGGTGTTTTGACATTTCTGCCTCTTTGTGGCTTCTTCGCTTTTTAAAAACAATTTTTTGGTGGATGGTCAATGAAAACACGAGGATGTACATCCCAGAGGAAAACCACCAAGGTAAGGCTGGCCCCCCACAGCCTGGCCCAGGCCCTGGCGCGGGCTCCGGACCTCCCTGCCCGCCGGGCTCCGGCTCGCCGGGCGACGGCCCCTGCGGAGTTGCCCGGGGCGCCTCCGCCTCGCCGGAGCGGCGGGACCCCGGCCCGAACCCCGCGAGGCCGAGCGGAAAATTCCCGCCCCTCCCCCTCTGGTGCCGGCTTCTTCGGCGCATGTGTTTCCTATGAGATTCCAGGCGAGGGGGGAAAAGTTCCCCAAGTGTCTGTGCTCCAGCCTCGCTTTTTCGCGTTTGCCGGGAAAGCCCAACTGCCCGGCCCGCCGCGCGCAGGGAAAGGGGCGCCGCGGTCCTTCACCCCCGCCGGCTGGGGTCCCCGGCTCCGCTCGGGGCGCGGCCGGGAGCGCGCGCGCGCACCCCGCACCAGGCCGGCCCCGCGCCCGGGCCGCCGCCCGGAGTCCCGCTGGCTTCCAGGGGCTCCTGATGGAGAGGTTTGCGCTCAGGGGCTCAGGGAGCCGCGGATGCAGATGTGAGCCTGCGCCTCACCCCCACCGCTCACCTACACCCTCCCGCCTCTCCCCTGCCATTGACCCCGAGGGCGCCCACGCCCCGTGTGTGCTTATTCGCACCCACGCACAGGCTAGCACCCGAGGATGTAAGCGGTAAGAGTCGGGAGGCGTGGGGGCTTGGCTTTTTCATGCCTTAAGGAGATAAAAGGTGTGCCGGGCTCACAGGGCTCCACGCTGTAGCCCAGCGTTCTCCAAGCATCTCCATCATGGGCATCAAGTGTCACCAGCTCCCCCCTGTGAGGGGAGAAAAAGGCTTTCAAGTAACTCCCCACTTCCTGGAAACTTTCTCCCCCGCCCCCCTTATTAACAAGTTATTATTTTTTTTGGCATCACTCAGCGATTGAGGTCACGATGGAGTATAGAGGGATGGTCTGGCTGGAGGGTGGCAGCCTCAGCTCTATCTCTGTCGTTTTCCAAGGCTTTCTCTCTCTCTCTGGGTGTTGCCGCTTCCTTTTCTCTCCCAGTTTCTCAAGCCTCCCTGTTTACACTCTTCCTTTCAGTCTCTCTTCCCCCCCCCCCCCCCCAAATACCTGTCGCTGTTGGTCCTGTTACTTATTGGGGTACTTCGAGTGACCCTCTGAGGACCAGCCTGGGGGTGGGGCTGTCTCCATGTTTCTTTTTGCCAGCCTCCTTCCTTTTGCCCCCATTTCCACCATTAAGGGGTGGGGAACGACCGGCCATCCTTATAAGGCCCACGAGATCATTTGATCTGGCCCTGCCAAGCCATTAGGAGTGAGTTAATTAAATGTTTGACCAAATAGAGCAGGCTAATTTTTAAGTTGATAATTTTATATGGCCCCCTGGATGATGTTATAAATACCCAAATGGCCCATGGCAGAAAAAAGGTTCCCCGCCCCTGCTTTAGAGCCAGAGGCTGCCAGGCACCCTGCCTGCCTGGTCTCTCCCCATTGTCCATCCTGAAACTGAGTTGGGGGCTAATTGTCCCTCTGCTATCGAGTTTGGGTGGCAGTGTGGGGATTTGGGCCTCTTTTGGTGGGAAGAATTTGGTCAAGAGTCATGGGTCTTAGGGTCAGCTGGGGCTTTGGAGTCACAAAGGCAGCTCTGTCCCTGATTTCTCTCTACCCCGTGTCCCAACCCCACCTGTTCCCCTGTCCCTTTCCTAACTCTTGGAATAGTGGATGGATTAGGTGAGAGGGAATGAGACACACAAAGGAAAGGGTGATATTTGTGACCAGCCGGGGTGGTATGCTCCCTTCCAAGTTCTCGGCTCAGTTAAACAGCCTTGAGGAGGAGAGCTCAGTAGTATTGTTCTTACTTTACCAGCAATGGCAGTGCACTGTGGTAATGATGATTCACATAATGATAACCTTAACTAGTTCACAAGGTCTCCTCTTAGTGCAGGATAAACCCCTTCTTAGCCCTTTTCCTTTCCTTTGCCCCCTTGGCCCCCAGCAGCCCCCTACTCACACACACATGCAGGGAGCAGGCATTAAAAGTAGGAGCTGACCCTGGAGAGGTTTGTGCAAAGATGAAGGAGAAGGGAGAGAGCAGGCAGGGCTGGGAGCTCTCCCTTTCCAGCAACATGCCTCCGAACACTATGGCAACCTGGATTCCAGTTCTCTCCCTAGAAGCTGCAGTGATTATATAATTCACAGGAGCGATTTTGCCTCCATTCCTGGATGCGGTTTTCAGGTGAAAGAGCACCAGGATCCCGGTCTCCCTCCATTTCCCACCCCCTCTCTGCCTCTTGGGCATTGCCCTGGTGTTTTGGGGGGAGAAAGGGGAAGGGTGACAAAGGTGGGGAGAAGCAGACTTGGAAGAGTATGAATATGTACACGGAAGGGGTTGCTAATATCCAAAGGGGCAATGGAACATAATTGGGGGTTAGAATTTCAGGAGAGAGAGAGAAGCCAAATGATTACCTCAGAGTGGTGATGATGAGGAACCAAAGAAGAGAGAACTGAAAAAGTTGCCAGTGGTGGGGCTTCTCTTCCTGACAGACTTTAAGGCACGGACTGCATCAGCCCTTTCTCTCCCAGCTTCTCTCTCTCTCTCTCTCTCTCTCTCTCTCTCTCTCTCTCTCTCTCTCTCTGTGTGTGTGTGTGTGTGTGTGTGTGTGTGTTGAGAGTCCAGGCATGGAGGTGGTGGTCAGTGCATGGGAACAGCCTGGAAGTTCCCTGAAGGACTGGCTCTGACCCTGGGTTTCGGGCTGGAAATGGCTCATGTAGGCCTCACCTCTAGTGCCCTCACTGCTCTGGTCCCACCCTCGCCTTCCACTTTTCTGGGTTGATTTTCCATTTTGGTCTACAGTTAGCAAATGGGTTTCTTAATAGTCAGACATTTAGCAAATAAAACATTGGTATGTCCCTTAGCTGCTAGAGGAAGGGAAGAGGAAGAAACATGTTCTGGGAGTGGGAGACGCAGTGTGCCTTCTTTTTAACTACTTAGCAACACAGCAGAATAGCAATTATAATAAAGGAATAATAATGATCATAGTTATCTCTCTTTACAAATAAATGGTCAAAGGACAATTGCTTGCACCTCAGCTTGTGCAGGTTAAAGAAAGTATGACATTAGCTCCTCTTCCTCTGGATACTGCATGAAGGAAACTGGAGAAAAAGGACTATTGAAGTTCAAAACATTGTTCCTAGTATTGTTCAGATACTTTGCAGCTTATCGGAAAACTACATATTAGACTATATTATAAGAATCAATTATTCATCATTTCAATAGAGCACATGCTAACAGTGTTAAGGGCATACTTGTACACACACACACACACACACACAATAGGGAAAAGCTATTGTAAATAGACTACACAGTGCACTTCGGGGACCCAGTGTGTTGCAGAGGAATATTGGTAATGTGGCCTCCTAAGATTGGACATTTCTACCTCATATTAAGTGGAGAATTGTTCTCTACAGGTAGATGCTCCTCTGCAGGTATAGTATTCTGCAAATGCAATGGTGACCCAGTAGCCCTTGGAGCCATCTCTGAGCTTTGGTGATCACTTAGGACTCTTCCTTCAGTTTCCTCTTTGAGGTATAACTGCCCGAGGTGGGTTCTTCTGTGTGTGTATAAGGCCTAGAGTCTAGGCCTTAGACTGAAGGAGTCCAATGGGACTTTTGAGGCCCTGCGCATCTTTTTATCTCCACTTCCTAGGACAGGCCCTGGCTCATTCTAGGCCCTTAACCTGTTAACCAAGTGGGACCTATAAATACGTCAAACATAAACACTATCGGGAACGGGTAGGACATATGAATACGTCCTTGAAATATATGTTGCGCCCTGAGAGGGATGGTATATATTTTTTGTAATCTTTTTTTTTTTAAATATATTTTATTGATTTTCTTACAGAGAGGAAGGGAGAGAGATAGAGAGCTAGAAACATCGATGAGAGAGAAACATCGACCAGTTGCCTCCTGCACACCCCCCCACCAGGGATGTGCCCGCAACCAATGTACATGCCCTTGGCTGGAATCGAACCTGGGACCTTTCAGTCCACAGACTGACGCTCTACCGCTGAGCCAAACCGGCCTCGGCTGTAATCTTCATAATTGTTTGTAAAATTTATAATTTTTTAATTCGATGTTTCCATTTTTTTGTTGGTATTCTTTTCTATTTGTTTGTAATTTTGTATTTTACTTTGTGCTTTATATATAAATAAATGAAAAAATATATATTTCATTTATTTTAATTAAGTATAAATAAAAAAATAATAATATAAAATTACATCCGCTGGGTGTGACGTACTGACACATCCTAGTGAAAGAGTATGCGCCCATTGTACGTTGCGTAATTAAAAAGGGAACTCCCCGGTTAACAGGTTAATACATGTCAGAATGAATGCTTGCCTGCAAGAACCAATGAGTGCACACCCAGCAAGACTTAAAGGGGCTGTAGCTTCTGCCTCCCCCAGTAGGTGGCGCTCCAGTGCTTAGGAGTCAGTACAGGGGCACTCCTGTTGGGTTTGGTGGGGAAGATGTCAGGAGTTTGAAGAGAATTTCCTGTCCTCAGTGACTCGCTCATCATGCCCACATCTCCCCCGGCACAGAGAACTCCAAAGACCAGTGTGTGTTCCCATGCCACCACACACACATATCAGTATGACTGAGTCCCTTGGTGACTTTGCTACCCTCTGGCAATGAAAACACACTTTGGATTTCTCCCACTCTACTGCACACTCTTACCTCAGACTTCTGTTTACCTTTCGCACAGACAGCATCCTACAGAGCCTTGAGGGCGCCTTTTGGGCGATTAGCTGAATTTGTTATGGCTGTGTATTAATTTTCTCCCTAATTTACCATGGATGGTTTAACCAGAGGGGCATGAGGCAACCTAAAAACCGGGATCTGGAAACCCTAACCTATAGGGTTACAAAGCTTGTCAGCTCAGAGATAAGAAAACATTTCCCTAACTTCATTAAGGAAAAAAACCAAAAACAACTGGGTATACTTCACAGCTGATTTCTGTTTATG